GGTCACCAAAGAGAAGACAGCCATTGACAACAGATAATGAACTCCGTCGCTGAAAAAGTTTCCGGAGTTCCCCTGGTGGACTGGTTGTTGGCCAGCTTGATTGGTGGTACTCCATTGCCTTTTGTAATATGCTGTCATTTTTGGTGGCATCTCGCACCGCATCAAAAGTCACGGGTAGTTGATCCATGGTCTCTAACACCACAGCACGGACTTCCGGACCTGATTGGCTTCGTTTGCTTCGTGACCTCCGGGGTTGATTGCGTCTTTGGCTAGCTTTCCGCGTCCGGCACTGGCTTTCCTTGTGTCCATGTCGATTGTACACTGAACATTTGTGCTTTTTGTACGGACACAATCGCACAAAATGCCATTCGCCGCATTGCCAGCATGCTGAAGGAGGTTTTGCTCCTCTCGAATTTGTCACCACGGGAGGTTGCTTCGATGTCGTCCTGGCCATGTTGATTGCAGGATTGGATAAAGGCTTCTCCAGCATGGCCTTGTCGTGCTTACAATTTAAAAGGAAATGGCACTCATGGGTAATTGACTGCAGTGTTATCTCGGGAGTTTGTTCAATCTTGCTCAATAGTCTCGCCAAGATATCACTTTCTGAGTGCAATTGAAGACCACAAATGAAAATAAGACATTTGAACTGGTCTTCCGTCATGGTAGATAACTTGAATTGTTCGCATTCAAGGTTGACTCTACCGGCATAAGTGGTATAGTCCTCAGACTCCGTTTTCGCCAGTTTCATACATTGGTAGCGAATATTAAACAAGGACGAACGCTCACCGAAAATCATTGAGAGTTGTTGCACGGTTTTGTCAAAACTGAGATCTCGAGTGTTCTTAGGCAGGATGAAGTTGGAATACCGTGTGTTCCGTTGTGCCAAGCTTTCTGAGCAATAAGCGTACTCTCCAGGCCTCATCTTTGTGCTTCAGTTCGACTTGGAAGACATCTTCGTAACGTCTGAACAACGAATCGATGGTTAGGCTGGCATCAGGGTCATAATGGAACTCCGTGATGCTGTTGGCGATCGAGTCGACTGAATTTGTACCTGGAGCGGAATTTGGTGGTTGAATTTTCAGTTGCTGCGTCAATGTTTCCACCAAACGTAATTGCGCCGCTTCAAACTGGTTTTGCTGTTGCAGCAGAATTTCTTTCAGCGCTTCAGCAGTTATTGTCATGATGCTGTGGGTTCGGGCGTCGCCAGTCTGTTATATCTGCTGATTCGCCAATCTGAGGTATCTGTTGCTGACCCGCTCCAGTGCCTACTGTCGGAGAGAAAAGACTCACGGAAGGGATCACAATAGCTATATTCCAACAAAGTGGTTGGGAGGGTGTGCGAGTGCGAAAAGCACAACGGCCTCAAACTTTTTATTGGAAGGACACTGTCTGAACTTGGTTCAATGCTGACACACCCGGTCTGGCTTTAGTACGAGGCAGTGACGTGCTGCATATTGAGGAGGCGTTGTCTGTTCTTGATCAACGCTGACTCGCGCTGCATGGGTTTGATGCAAGGCTGTGACGCGCTGCATATTGAGGGGGCGTTGTCTGTCTGGTCAATACCCAGGGGAGCTGAGAGTCTCCGTAGATTCCGGGAATTCAGTGGTTGCTTTCAGGAAGCTGACCTTCGAAAAACTTTTCGGTTGCTTTCAGGAAGCTGACCTTCGTGAGAAAAACTTTTCGACGACAACCTTATGAGCAGTGATTTATCTCTGTGCACCATATTGAAACATCTCGAATATCTTATCAACTGGAACGTGATGCGGCCTAGTGCAGAAAATCCAGTTGATTGGGAACACCAAGTGGGTCTACCTTCAAAACCGAATTAGTAGCAGATGAGTGTATAAGTCGAAGAGAAAGACTTGTTTACAAACCAGCATTCAGGTACATTTCAAGAGAAACTTGTTTTCATAATTTTCCCTATCGTACATAGCTTACCCACACTCAACCTTCGTACTTCTAAAGTGGCCAACGACTAGACCTAATTCCACCCTGCTTGGTCATACCTAGGAGCATGGACATCCGTCCACTGAGGGATCTCATCCTACACCGTAGTCCAGGCGTTCGTTGAGTACTCAGTATCGCACCATGTCTGTCTTGGCCCCACGTCGACGCTCGCGGCTCACGGATAGTATCCTTCTTCATCCATTGTCCGAGCGGGATGTTTAGTATGGATGGGGTTTGATGGATGACCAACCACCCAAATGTTAGTGGTTTCCTGAAACGATTTCAGCGGTAACCATGTGCGTCTACTGTCACTCCATCGTGAACGGCAGCCTACTCCCAGTTATTCCGAACACATCAAATGCTTTAAAAAGAGGCTCTTCATGCAAGCTATCAAACCTTATTCGCTGCACGATTGCACGGTTTATGCGGAATCCATGAAAGATCAAAACCTGAGGACTACATTTCCCAGTTGGGGCACCCTGCCATTCGCGAACAATCTTTAATATCCTATAGGAATTATGAGTATACAACTATTCCTGAGTCAAGTCAGAATTTAGAGTGAACGAGCGTATGGAATACCGTGGGACTAATCCAAAGTGTAGACATGCAGATATAATCTTCCAGGTTCCCTTATGAACAATCGCCCTATTCTACACAGGTTGAATATCATTGGGTTTTCTGTGCCCCTTTCGGAATTTTGTTTGCACTCACACATTCTTATTGTACCTGCGCGCGGCGTTTCACTGACAGTATTTACAAAAGCAACATTACAATCAGTGGATGCAACGGAGTTTGGAACCGACTGACCAGGTGTCCTAAAAATGTACCTCAACAATTGAACACATGTGAAGCGACAAATCGCTCAATTTCACTGTGCGTACCATGAACTGGCCAGTAGCTTTGTGTACTATGCCAGTCGATAGATTTAGATAGGTGCCTTGATAACCGGTTACTAGTGCGGGAATCAGACACCGAAAAGTGGAGCGCAAGGTTCTCAAGATTATCATACAGGGTATTACTAGTTGTTTGGCGAGAAGCATTCATTTGATGAAAAACAAAACTATCAAAACCTGCAAGAGGAACTAGCACGTTTCAGGGTTTTCAAAATTCGTCGACTGTCCATTAGCCATGTCGAACAGCCGTATATGTTTTGCATTCAATACGACTGAACGAGACATCAAGTGATTTATCAATGAAGTATAATCCGTTTTCAGCCAGGATAACTACTGGTAATCCTTCGAGGCTAAAAATCATCTCAAATGCACAGACAGAGAATCCTGCCATTATGCGCTATGTGAAGAACATCTTGGGTCATGTGCTTTCAGAAGATATAAATTTTGCCGTGCAACTATCCTCGACTTAAAGCATACTCAGTGTTCCACTCGATACAAAGGTCATAAGACAACTGATGAGCGAAGTCAGATATGGTGCTAAAGATGGCGGAGTGAATGGAAATGAGCATAAATATCCAACCCTACTTGTTTGCAAATGGGCGAAAAATGGAAGAATACTTAGCGTCGATAAAATAGACACTAGACAAACAGTCCATTAAAGAAAGTGAAACTGTAGGACCGTATAAAGAAGTAATTATTAAGGTCGACGAGTATATATTAAGGAGATATCGTGGTGACAAATGAAAACGAGAAATGGTCAGAGCTCAGGGACAATCACACACACCAAAGCCACTCAATTCAATCAAAAGTTCAAGGAAACAATAACTACTACTGCATACTGATGTTTTGAGAATAGGCTCATAAACTGAATACCAACTCTTTGCTTAGCTCCCAACAAAACGGCCCAGGGAAACCACTTTAATGGCAGCTACGTCAACACCGAAAATTTCCAGAATCAATTCTAGGCCACCAGAAAGTGAGCCTGGGTAGTGACTTCATTTTTCCTACTTCAAGCATACATCTTATAGCATCCTACCGCATGGAAGGAATCACATTATTTCGTTAAACAATGTATTACACGTAGAGAGATGGAGAAAGTATCGAGTTGATTCAAGTGGTGTGTGAAACGCGGCTAGTGCTCACACTCCAATCTTTCTTGATGGCGCTCAGCACAGGGTTGAAACTGCGGCTAATACCGCGCATTATTTCAGAACGTTTTACCGTTTCCAGGCTTAAAATATACAAAGGAATGACGAGCTATACGCTTGATGGGCCTGATTTGCCAAGAAACTTGATGTTGACTGTCACAAATAAAGAAATTCACCAGCGTTGGACCATGGCGGCAGAGTATGACGCTAGAGAATCTTAAGGATCGTAGTTGAAGCTTAGTTGTTCCTCGCTCTGTGTAAACGGTAAACTTAGCATCAAGATATCTGTGTAGTCATTCGATAAATCATTAAACCACCAGGGCCTCCAAACTGAGTTTTGAGAATGCTCCCGGAAGTCCAAGAGAAACACATACCACCGACCGGTTATCCTGTAGCGCACCAATGCCCGTCGAAGAAATATCAGCGCTGGGTATGAAATATAATTTGGGTGATAAGAGCTACAGAACAGCACATGTTTTCAAAATAAATATGAGGAATTTCTGTAGCAGTCTTCAGGACATTTCATGAAACCAGGTGGAATTTACGGAGAATAGCTCGAAGAAATTGTGAGAGTGAATAACACTCAGTGCCAAGGGAAACTCATGAATATCCTTAGGAAATGGGGCAAAACGGCCAGGATTGTTGGCATCTACAATACTCTGAGTCTGGTATAAAAAAGAATGCCTCCTAGGATTAGTAGCAAGAGTTGCACTAAGAAACCGACGAAAAAAGTCGAATGACCCTCAGGCATATTCTTCTCTTGCACCATCCTAAACGAAAATAGTATATTAGTATGCCTCAATACTTCACGAGATCTGGACGATTTATTCATGACTCGTTCAAAATGGCCTAGAGGGCTCAAGGTTGTACTTGTGAAATCCAAATGTGGTGTACATCGTATTCAGACCGGACGAAGTGGTGTGGGGTGGAATTCGGAGATACGTATGATTTATTTTCACCTTGGAAAAGCATTCAGAATCAATAAGTTTTTGTATGTCACCGAGTTCAAATGCTGTGCACGTTCGCTCGAGAGTTCGTAAGTTAAGCATAATACGGGAGTGACCAAAAAGATGTATTTTCATCAGGTCTCAGCAGAACGACAATCAGTGTTCCCTACGATTAAGATACCTGGCTCAGTGATCCAACGAGAACACATTTCAACAAGCATGTTGATTACAGGCTGACACAAAGACATTCAAATCCATAAATAATTCTCAATGACTCTGGGTACACCAACTAACATACAAGAACTCAGGATTTGGAGGCACCACCAGAACTACTGCGACATGCTCAACTTGTCGAGTGACTATCATACATCATTTTCCCTAAAAATCAGGTAATTCGAATCCGCCAACTGATTTGAATGTCAGGTTGATACAATAGATAACAAATTCGACAAAAACAGCTTACCATCAGAAAATCATTTTGGCAAAACGTGTCCCTGAACTACCAGGATAAGTTTTGTTGGGCAACAGAAGTCTGCGTAGCTCTACGGGCTTTAACCCCCAATTTCAGTTGGATGCCAGCAGGAGAATGTGATTGCGCAAGCTGGGTCCGCTCTGTGGAGCGGCGAACATATCAGGTATGTACGGATGAGTAGCCTTGGACACTTCTGCTTATCGGTCAGAGTTAGGTGCCCTAATGGCAATAAGCCAATCCAATAGAGCTTGATCCGGCATCAAGGCGGGGTCTGGTATGTCAAAATATGTAACCACAAGCAGGTCATATTTCGGCGTCTGCTCAACGCCAACTGGTGGAAACGAATCCACCAGGCGTTCGAAACTCCACCATCGGACTCACTCTGAACATGGTACACTGCATGAATTTTCCAAACTGCTTTTCCATTTCATTGAAGTCAATTTACCTTTGCGGGCTGTTCTGCTGTAAACTTCAATCTGGGAGACGAGGAAGAAGGAATCCAAAACATTAATTCGGAAAACACTGCAGCCTTAACAGAAGCAGACCAAACGCTAGAGAGAAAACATGTGGGGCATCTGGTTTTTGACTCCTGATCCAAGCGGTACGAATCAGTGAGCAGTAGGCAGCTGTCGCTGCATGAGCGGTACACAAGCATTATGTTCCTCAAACTGGTTAGCCTGCTGTCTTGATGGGGAGATCAAAACTTGAGTGCAAACTTTGGGGTGTTCTCTGACCATCCGTCAAAAACGTCTCGTGACTAAAGATGACAGCATGGATACACACAAGGTGCAGATTACCCTTCACTACTTATCAGTCACTGAGAGGAAGACTAATTTACATAATGTAACGTAAATTACAGATGCACTTTTCAAAAGAGTAGACGACAACTCTTCATCGACAGCTGACCTTGTGCTACCACTTGATATTCAGCAGTGAACGATCATTCACTTGTCAACAGTATGAACTACGTCAAGAAGGTGGAGCCCAGGAAAATCATGTGTGCTTATTGATCAACGTTCTTCATGCATTCACTTTGACCAGTTCAAAATCAACATTTCAGGTGCACACATGAAATAGTCTGGGAGAGTTCCACAAAATAACACGGGTATGTCTTTTCATTCTCGAAAACAGCGTTTGCTATCTAGTACTAGGGACGCGACACATCATCGATCAACTGAATTGTACACTCGCGTAGCTCACAAAAATGACTAAAACGGTGACAGTAGTGAAGGGTCGGAAAAACACTTCTCGAGAAGAAAACATTCTTTTCCGAAGGCAGGAAATTTTCCAAGAATAAACACCCTGGAACCGTGGTGGTGGCAATTTCCCATTCCCCAGATGGCGATTCCACGCTGGAAAGAAGAGTATGGGAAAATTCCTGATACGAACGATCTATAATTACTGCCTGTTTGTCATGTTGAGTAGTTGATTTAGAAATCGTCCTGTATAGAAAGTATTCACTTTCAGCGGCACGCAAGAACCTAACTTAGGTGTCGTCGAATAAGGATATCAATCAATGGAATGCGGTACGAATAAGAGAGGGTGGCAAGTCAGACCATGAGGATTTTTGGTAAAACGCTTTAAAAAGGTGTCTAAATATTTATCCGATATCCAGGAAGAAGACTGTGACGAAGAGTGATGTCAATTCAAATGAATGTCTTCAAGCCAGAGTAAGTCGGGGTGAATCACAGTGCTGATCAGCCGCTTTTGACAGAATAGTTACAAGTTCCAGACTCCCTGGAGTTTCGTCATATGCAAAAGGGCTGATGATCCTCAATCAGGATAAAAAAGCTGCACAGTGCTTCCCGATTCTTTGGCATCGTTTGGCTTCGCTTAGAGAACGGACTCTCTATTGATTCGTCAGCGCGTGAACGAAGTTTAATGGTATCAGAGCACAAAGGGTTATGGATAACAGCACGCGGAAAGCGAACTCTTAGGCGGACTCAAATGGTGATGCTCCAAAAACTCCTGGAACCAATTTGCGCCACGTGCGCAACAGTATGTCTGTCGGGTGGATTGGGCTGAGACTGGTATGGAATTTGGGTCGGGATACATGCATAACGACCCTTAGAAAAACCATGCCTGTATTACGTAATGATGGTAAAGGAAACTGGATCTGTAGATGCAGCAGTGAATTAGATCTCGTTAATAACGAGCCTCTAAGCAGTAACCTCCAGCTGGTGTGGAGCGTTACTAAGAAAAACTTACAGTAAGTGAACAAATGGCTTAGTTGGTCCTCGCCGAGGATAGAACTGTAATTATACCTGAATTTCTACTGTTCATCTGTATGCGCACAGTTACATCCCTGAGATCAAGTGCAGTATCCCAACTAGCCTAGTGGTTGGTTTTACCGGTTGTCATGTCCAGTGGGGTAAAATCTGCTTTTCGCAGATGCCTTTTACCCGCTCCGTAAGTTCAGCTCCATTGATGCACTTCTGCGTCACCACTAGCCGATGCACAGCACTAGAAAATCCATGAAAAGTTTGATGATTGTTCACAGTAGAGCAAAGACTAGATTGTGAAAATGTTTCGAGGTGAAGTTCCGCGAGGGAGGGATTTTTCAACGAGTAAATATTCGGGATACATTTATGGGAGCGTCCTGGCTGTTCACTCCCCAAATCCTCCAATTGGATAGATTCTACCTAAGCTTAAGAATCGTAATCATAGAGGACAGGCCGTTCACTTCGTATTTCACTGAACTAATGCAACCAAAAGCGGATTCTTTTACCGGTCATGCAACCAGCATTCGTGGGTGAAAAAACGCTTGATAGATAAGGTGAAATGAAGCTTTTCTTCAGTTGTAACACCCTTCCGGTGAAAAAACGCTTGATAGATAAGGTGAACTGAAGCTTTTCTTCAGTTGTCAGGTGTCACGCTGCTACGCCACCTGAACGAAGCAGGAGGTTTGAGATATTTCCAAGTTATCCAAGTCTGGACAGGAACGGTCGAGATGCTGAGGACGGGCTCGAACCACTGGGCTTTGAATGAAATCTAGACTGCTTTTAAACCAGTGACATTCCAACTGCACCCTAGAATCAACATAAACTACTCTAGAGCCAACTATATTACCCGGGTTACTATAAAATAAGCGCCGGTGAAAAGAATGTGGCCTACTTCGTACATCAGGCCAACAGAAACAGAGAGTATAAATAACTGACCGGAGGCTGACCCACGCAATCTTACCCAGAGAGGTACTAAAAATGACCATATAAACGGCGTCCTTTAAGCAACGAAAGACGAACAATAGGTATTTCCAAGAACTTTCCCATACATTTATACACACACATGAATAGTAGCACAGAAAAACCAAACGCAGTCGTATGACTTGTGAAACATTTTCGTAGAGAAGAAGTCCAAAATAATCGGAGATCACAGCAAAGGGATGGGGGTAAGGGAAATTCAGAGCTGCTCTAGTTCGGAATTGACAAAACAACGAGACGATGGCTTATGGAGGCAGCCGGTGAACTTCAGGGGAACATGTGACAAGAGAGGTATGTTCAGGTGACGTCTCTTACATCGACGGGCGCTGGTTCCGATGGGACGAGGGATCGTACTGATCCAAGGTTGGCGTCGAGGAAAAAGTACCAAAATGCCAAGACCACGTTGCTACAAAGAAGCATTGTGCCGACGAAAAGAAGAATACGGAAAATAAAATGACGTTTGTGCTTACAGGGAAGCAAACGAGAAAAGCACAGTTCTATGAGGGCTTTGAGAATCCACTGCCCGTCGAGCGCATAGCACGGCACCACATTCAAGATGACCAGTGCACCGGATAGTGAGAATAGGTAGCTGAGAGAGAGGTTAAAAACCACGGATTAGACGCAAAAGCAACAGCGAATATATATATACAAAATTTAAAGGTACCTGATTGGATGAGGGGGGTTTCGGAAATCAGATACTATTAGTAGCATGGAACAAACAATGCGTGCATGAAACATATACGAATATTTGATGAAACTGTACACGAGCTACGTGGGCAATAAATAAATGACACGTCGAAGTTGGGCATGGCAGTCAACAGTGGTTGAAGCACTGAACTTCTGCGAATAACTGGAACACCGCGTTTTTTGCACAGGGCCGAATGCGCCGTTGTGTGCGAACCCTTGAAACCAACTTAGATCCGAGGGATGGGAACAGGAACGCGAAGATGCATTCCATCAGCCTGCCTAAACATCAGTTGCTAGTTTAACATTGAGCCAAACGATTCGAATCCGGATCCCCCAGCCAGTTGAGTACCGTGGTTACAAAGCTGCGGGAATTACGTTATGCTTACTAAGCTTCCCCTAGGTTGCCTGTCTTGCGGCAACGCCAATGTGCATATGAATGGAGCTCTTTGCTTCGGTTTGTTATCTTTCCTGAGATGCTTCAGGACTCTGCTCCTCAGTTGCTTCCAAGCTGTTCTATCTATCGGCCCCATAGTTGTTTGGATGAATATTAAATCATTGTTGTGGGTCTAGAAGGATAACTATAGCCCATTTCCATCAAACTAACAAAGGAGTGTGTGGTCCACACATTAACAGTAGGACTACTGTAACAGCTGTTATACTCACGTGTTCTGAAAATCGACATCCCTGAGAAAAGAAAATTCTTTTCACTTATGGAGGGCATGATGCTGACAAACATATCAGAATGCAGTAATTATACCAATGCCACACACTGGAAGCCTCACTTTGGAATCAATTTCAACTAGGTATGTAGTATGCGCATATTTCTGACGGTTTTCGACATTTTTTGCTTCAACATCATGTCAATGCGAAAACAATTAATAACCTGATAACGGATCTCGTGCAACAAAACCGCACATGCGTTTCCTGGGGTCAGAAAGCGAGTTCCGTACTACAATCGAGATCTACCTCGATTCTGTAGCAGTGTGTTTACTACGGTCAGCGTCAGGGCGCGCACTGTGCTGATTCCGCAGAAGGGAACAGATACCAAAATCGACATATGCTACGTAAATACCAAAAGATTTAGACGAAGTAATGAAAGTGCAGGCTCTGGTCAGTAAAGCAGTTTCATTTGATAGCTCTTTGGTCCGTGATTAGGACTTGATTGTATCACGAAAATCTCCGCAAAATCTGACAGAAGTGATGCAGTACAGTATAAGTCAAGTAAAAACTAGAGTACATGTTTGCCTCTATCCCCCCTTCACTCATATCTCACTATGTGAAAACGAGCCAACAAATTGCAAAATCTGATTCAAAAATGCAGGTGCTTAGTGCTCACAAAGAAAATTAAGGAATATTTTAATGCTGGGAAACTGCGACTGAATTTCGTGAAATAGATTAAAATTCCTTATCGGGCAATACATGGCTCCATGGTAATTTTTGAGACATATCGCCAGTTGGTGTTGCGGTCCAATTCCATGAAGTTTATTCGCATCAACACTACTCACTGTATGCACATGTGCGCCTCTCCGCCTTGGCAGATGTGTCCGTGTTTGGACCGCGGACATCTGAGAAAAAGTGATGAAGTACTTTAAATCCAGTCAGATGGATACGTCAAAATTGATTGCAGAAGCTCTCTAGTGTCAGTCCTAGACCTATCTTGTAAACTGCGCTTGATCATCCAATTGTGTTAGGCAGAATCCCGCACCGAAATCGCTTTACCGCTCGCACTTTGAAGCTGCTACAGCCGAGAGGTCTACCACAGACGCCATTGGTCAAAAGACTGGGCTGCTTGCCGGTGCAGCACCCCTGATTGGTCGACACCAACAACCAACATGATTCAGTATCTGCCGAATGCCAGTTGCCAATGACGCATGGAGAACGTGCCGGAATTTCCAGAATGTTGTCACCACATATACTCATTAACGACGCGCTGTATATGTGTATTTGATCTGGTTTTTGGGCGCTAATACACATGCAACTTTGATGGATGTTTTGACGTAAGCGCTAGCTCGGGAGGTTCACACCAAGAACTAAGCTGAGAAAATACCGTTATTACAAGTTGGTATAATATATAGACCACACTGAAGTCACTTGCATTCTTGGTCCGATTTTGACTACTTAGCATATCTTGATCTCATTAGATGGTAAGGTCGATATACCAAACACATTGAAACACATCGCTCAGCTCTGAAATCGAGTCGATACACAGCTGATACACGCAGCTCTGAAATCGAGTCGATACACAGCTGCTCTATCGGTCTACGGAGATACACAGACCTAGATACTACCAGGTCGTTCAAGCTTCAATAGGGCTGACAGAGGTAAGAAGTGCAATCGAATTATGGGACGCTCACTACTAGTTGGACGAACTCGAGCCGACCGAAGCGTACATGATACGGCAAAGCCCTATCAACGGTATCAAAAATGCCTGCAACATCCCTACAAAACAGGTGCATAAGATAGTGCACGAAAAAGCCTAACTGATCATAGTGTTTGCTTGTTGGTCTGCTCGCCGAGCCCCAAAAGACCAACAACCAAACAGCGCACCCGAGTTACCTACATTCCACAACATGATCATAGTGTTTTTATTTTATTTAGGATAGTTGTTGGCACTTTCCGAGCCTCAATACTAATGACGGTAAAGCGCATCAAATAGTCCTGCGTTTCGCGTGCGGGTTCTACCTCCCTTCAAGTAGGCCTAGTCTACGAATCTAGATTAACTTTGTCTCCTACTTGTACACCGTTTTGTTGCGATAAACATTCATCTGCGAACCAATTTGATATTTCCAGGAGACTCATTTGATATTAATCTGAATCCCTAATTTTTAATATTCTCCAACTAGTGGTGTTGCACAAAAGGTGCCTTCTGTTTCTGTGGAAGCGATAGTTGTGGTGTCCAGGTATGCTTCAATACCAATCCTAAGTTCGCTTTAACTGAAACATGAGATGGACACGATGCAACATGTGTAGCTGGAGAATATTACCAGGTAGAAACTCAGGTGGACTGCAGCTGAGACACCTGTTAAAAACCCGATTCCCTGTAATGACCTTCATTACCTTTACCCAGTCAGAATCAGTGCCGGCTGACACTATTCTAGCTATATGATAGTTTAGAAAGCGTTACACACGACTTAGCGCACCATTTGGCCGCAAAACTTGCAATTCTGGTTGGAGACCACAACGAGTATGCTTACTGCTTTGATAAAAGTGCGTTCCTAATAACCGCATTGCCAACTTACTAGTATTCACTAGTCCATATCAGTCGTGGTCTTGACACATCGACGGTGAAAGACGTGGTTTTTTTGGGTTCCCAACAGAATAAATGACATGTGTACAACAATATTGCCGGACGAGATCAGGCAATGTCTTTCTGGCGCCAAAGGTAGTTGACACTGGTGAATGCAGTTCCGCCCATGGAGACTCGTGTATTAGCCCCATCTACAGCAGTCACATCAAAAAAGAACATCCAGGAAGCAGAAAGCACCCGGAGACTTCTAAGTTGCCGTGTGCTCCGCAACCACTGCAATAAAATATCTTGGATCGAAGAGCACGCCGATCGAAAATTCGTGCACGTGCTTTCATAATTTTCTGCTTTTCATTCGACATTTCATCTGGAAGTCATGTATTCGAAGATGTAGATTCCTCTCAGACAACAGTTTCCCATTTGCCAAAACCCTCAACTTTCTTTGAGAAAAAATGGGCATAAGCTAAAAGTGCTGAGTGTTACTTATTTGCCTTATCCACAGGAAAACTTTGTGACCAGATTAGTGGGAAATCAGAATTTTCGGGACGCTCTCTAATTTAGGCTCAATAAATGCGAAGACCCCACGGTTAGCATGGTGTCGGCTGTCCATTGATATTTGAGTTTCCTTGGGATTATTAGACGTCGCAATGATACACCAACCTATAGGTATACTCACGTGCAAAATAGTCCCAGAACGGCTGGAAAATTGGGTGGAAAAATGCCCGGCCAGCGAGACACATAGTCTGACACGCCCACAGAGGCAAGTAGGTCTTCTAGAGGGCCAAGAAACAAGATGGCGGGGGCGTCCTTGCGGTTATGCACCAAACGCACCAGACGCGTCTGATTGTCTGGTGGACTAGGCACCACACACATCATTGGACGCTCGAGGACGGACGAGTGTACTGGGCCTTGAGCACCATCCGTGTCATCTGCAGTCCGTATGAGGGTGTGTGATCCACAATCAGAAGTAGTACGGCACGCTGCTTGCTCGGTAACCGTACGGGCAGGTAGACATGCGTATCGTTTTGTCTAAAATTAAAAAAAAAAACAAGGAAAGATCTAATGGATGGATCTTCGGAAACTGGAGCCATTCATCTCGAAAAAAAGCCATCAATAATTACGATGAGTTTATTTTGTCGTATAAGACAGTATCAGAGTACAAGCCATCGACACCTCCAAACGATACTAGGCAAATCACCGCCTAAAATGCTTGCGGCACACCGAATCAAACAAACCATCCATAATACCACCTTCTCATCGAGAACCGATGAACGGCATAACACAGCAGTGAAGCATCGTGTTGAACACTGATGTCATGCTGTCGATGATGATAGTGATGACAGCCTTGATGCCACTTTATTCGTGGCATTGTCGGATGCCCTCACCGGACTTCATACAACCGCATATGAAATCTTTTCCACAACTAAATACATCTCCATTCGCTTGCTGGATATAGCGAGTTGAGACTGAATGGTCAATTCTAGAAGTTTCATACCAGGACATTTGTTAATGACACGCAAGGAATACATTGTGACTAAAAAAGGAATGCTTGGAATAAAAATATTTCGAAGGCGAGGGACTCAAATACCTTCTAAGACAATTGATACATAAATCGTACATTCTGCTCCTATTAGATAACCCTGCAAGGTGATGGGAAAGTTCACAAAAGAATGGATGTGTGTATCAAGAATCGCCTATAGTTGCAACAATTTGGATCAGCTGTGAAAGACCAGCATCGTTATTAGACCTCGCATAGCAACTTCAAAGGTCGTCGGGCTGTTTTGGTAAGTCGGAAGAATGAGGCGACGTCGCCTAGAATTATTGTTTGGTAGACAGGAAAACCTTGAATGTCATTGAATCCCGTTTAAACAACCGCTTGTGAGAACTTTGACAAAGTTAGCAACATCGCTTGGTTCAGCTCCTAAACAAACGATGCTCAAACGACGCTACAAATTTTCGTCAATAGATGAAGTTGCGGTGGTAAAACTGGTTGAGTTCTTTAAATGGGCATCTTAACAATATTCTGTAAGCTGGTGACAACACAACTTCCCTCAGAGTGCTGACTCTTCAGAACGGCTTAGCTACAAACAATGACAGGTAGGAAAACTCACTCGAACAGGTTGAATAAAGGGAGCGGATAAAAGGGTTCCCTTAATATCAAAGAAAATGTTCGTCACATTCAATCACAGAATGCTGAGGTTAGAGGAATACTCCAAAGCTCAGACCCCATACACAAACCGAAGTGTAGCCTGTGCAGCAAAAACCCACTGTCGAGTGAAGGCACGACAAATGTGGGGTATGGCGACTAACGTTGCATGTTTTGCTGAAGGAATGAGGAGGTAAAAATACAGAAGCGATCGACCCGATCTCGCAGGCCAGTTTGCCGTAGCAAAAACGTGAATGAAAAGCCAGCTCGAACAGCGATTCTTGGACAGGGGCCAGCTCGGAAGAAAGGAACTGAGCCGCCCAAGGGAGCAGTCTCTGTACAGTTTCGTTTGTGTGGGATAGTGGTGGAAAGTTCACCCAAACGAACGGGTGATCATGACCAACTCACCTGACGGTGATCACCAAGTCACATCGGTAATAAATTCGCATAAATATGGATACATTCTGAGAAAGTAAGCAAAGTTAACCCTCTCAAAGTTTGAGCGGACTCTTCGAGGCGAAGAAATTTTCGCTTCTCCGGTTTGTTTGCCGAGGGAAGCGAAACCATCCCTCGTAATGGATAAATTCCCTATTTGTATCTGCTGGTGTTTTTAGGTCATCAATTATCTTATTGTTACACTCACCAACAGTGCACTTAGGCTATTAGATAAGCGAGTTCACCATTCCATCAATCTATTTCCCAATTTTGCTTAGAGGCCTTCCATACACGAAGGCTGTGTACAACATGGCATGCTAAAACCGACTGAATTCAACAACTGAATAAAAGCAAACTTACCAATGAGAGTCTCAGTAACAATAGCGTGATTATTAAATAAGATATGATAATGTTGAAGGAATACGGTATACGATAGCAACAGCTTGTTACCGTTTGCCCAGCCCGTTGGATACAGCAATTAGGGCTGACGACACCAAAAGACAGCCTATGAGACGTGAGACAGTTTTTCAGGGATACTAAAGCTAAGCAGAGTGACTGACGCACTCAATCAAAGCCTGACCACGAGGCAGCAGTGGTTTTTACGAGATTCACAGAGCAGTCCTACGAAGTCCTGCCACGTGGTGTCCAATTTCATGAAGGCGATCTGCTATATGGGCTCATACGCCTTAGTATCCTAATAGGACGTCCCCGAGGATACTAGAGGAGCGTCTCTTGTCCCATCTTTCAAAATGTCTTCAATCTGAAGCAAGATCTACTACAGGCCCTCATAAAACACCACGAGAATGCTCCTTCTCCCCTCTCTGGCTCCGAAGTATTTGCAGATGCCTGACAAAGATCATTGACTGGGACCCCCAGTGGACATCTACGTCTTCGACACTAAAATTCAACGACATGAAAAACGGGGAACACTCATCAAATAACCTAGACGTATTATTACAAAGTTTAGAGAAGCAGGGATCTGATGCCGTATTTGACAACGAGTTACAGCGAAGGTGTTTGCTATCTTGTCGCTCTTCACCGTTGCATTCGGCCACGAAGCTCCAAGGTTTTTGTCGAGGAAGACAAGTATTTTTGTGAATATGCAGCGGTGAGTTTGCATGGCAAAAACTAAAGGGTTGGGCTTCCTCGCGGTCCGTTCAGACCCCAGCACATAAGGTCTGAGGGGGCTTATGGAAGTGTCAGCCGAACACTCATACAGTCAACGGTAACTACATGAGCCATTGATATGCGAGGAGAATGAGAACCACTACCATGACAATGTAATAATAACGTGGACAGGTGTTTGGATGTCGTTACGTTAGCCGATTAAAGCAACGTTCAACAGAATGACAACTTCAATACAGGACAATATATCCATTAAAATGAAGGGATCAGGACACACTTTTTGATCGTTTATTACTTGTGAAAAATAGTCTAGGAAGTCAACCGCCTTTCCCACTCCACCACCGCGCATAAATTGTCGCAGCACTTTCAAACCCACACAGACCATCGGCACACAAGGTGAATCATCAAGTGAAGAACCTTGAACCGGAAGATTATGGAACCAAGCCCGATTTCAAAAAAGTCGAAAAATTTCCCCAACCTATCAACCGTAAAATTTTGGCGACCGCACTAACAGACAAGACCTTTTAACTGACATTCATTATTAGTCTCGTATGCCAATCTGAAGAGGTCGTACCGACTGGTTCTCCGTCTGCCTTCCACCCTGGCCAATTTGGTGACCTGCCCACTTAGCTTGATAACGTTTTTGTGTCAAAAGCGAAACGTTGTCCAGTTAAATACTACCGATTGTTTACCAAGCCCTTCTGAAACGACGTGTTCTCAATCTGTTCCAAACTTTTTCCAACTGACTGAAAAGTCTAGAACTGTTTATCTCATGTGACTATTGCACACACAGAGCAATATGAGAAGGAGCACTATGCTGTCGGCTACGACCCTTACTAAAATTAGTAATTAATGCCCTCTGATAAAGGATCCAAGGGATTGTTACGCTGTCTTCGCGTCGAATCGCAGATTTCAGCGAGGACTTAATCCACGTGAAAAAGTGATGGGTTTAAGGCTTAGGACAAAGAACCTGACTTTTTAACCGTGATATTTACATCGGAACTCCAATGGATTAACGTAGAAAATCTCAATAATATAACCATATAAGATCCCACGCCGCTGAAAAAAACTTGTTCTGCCAAAGGCGGAACTTCTACTGATAGAAAGATTTCTTTTCAATAGAAATAACAGGATGACACCCGGATTTTAGCTCCATATTGATCAACTTTCAGATAGGTGGTTGTTTTAGTAGATATGAAATCATTCCCATACGATTATATATCGAGCCAAAAACTCAAACAGCGGAAAACGTACGAAACTTGTATCCGATCTCCAAGCTACACACCGTTATTCATGTTATTCCTGACGTTCCGCTTGACAGTTGACGACCTGTATATCTGTTGTGAGTACATTATCAAACGTCGAAAGTCACCAGTCTCTACTTCGGAATGGGAACTGAAACCACTCTAGACAACTAAGAGAAGTGAAACAAGCCTTGGTCACATAACGAACGTCTGAGTGATTTTATCGGGCAGTTCAAGACGGCAAGGTAGAGGAATGAATAAGGTAGAAGTTTGAAAACACACACTGTTTGTGCGAACAACACAGGTAAATCAGTGAAGTTAAGGTGAAGAGCCTCAACGGAAGACGAGCTGAGCTATGACGACAGGGTCCTAAGTTATCCGGTATGGTGCTTCAAGACCTTCCTTTGTTTTACCGTGTTGTGGCTACACCCATCAAACCAGCTGACTCACACCCGTGCTGTAACCAAATCCAGTTTCCCAGCATTGAGAATTCGCAGTTAAATTTCCAAATTTTTCACATACCCACACTATCCGCAACCACCCACAACTAAAAACGGAACAGCCAAGTTCTTTCGGAGCACGATGAAGCGAAATACGCACGGCAAAATGGATCACACACTCAATACACGACCACATGACTCAGGTTCGGTGATCGAATGGGTCGGCTTCGTGTTGTTACCTAGGAGATTACATTGGCAAGTCAAATCAACAAGTATTCGCAGTTAAATTTCCAAATTTTTCACATACCCACACTATCCGCAACCACCCACAACTAAAAACGGAACAGCCAAGTTCTTTCGGAGCACGATGAAGCGAAATACGCACGGCAAAATGGATCACACACTCAATACACGACCACATGACTCAGGTTCGGTGATCGAATGGGTCGGCTTCGTGTTGTTACCTAGGAGATTACATTGGCAAGTCAACAAGACAAGTAAAGTGCCACGTAAAATAGGAAACTAGACGGGTTTACAAAGAAGTCAGAAAAGGCGGCTTTGTTGAATATAAGTGTATTTTCTTTCGTGTTTTTTTCGCCCCAGTTAGGTAGCACAAGAGCAACTCACTAGAAGGGCTCCAAATGACAAGTCTATCGTGTTCACACAGTGACAGGCCAAACCTACATATACACGGTGTCTGCAGCAATCGCTCCTCCAAAACAAAGATTCTGACGAAAAGCTTACAGATACGTTCATTAGACACTGGGCGATGAAATGCAATAGAGAACAAACACTTCAGAAGACATTTCGGCGTCTCCCGAAAGCGTTTCCCCTGCAACACGATAATGATATACATGTGGTGACATAAGTCGTTGTGGCAGATAGCAAAGATGATGTCAGCAGGATGGTGAGTTGAGAGCCAAATCACAACCAGTTGAAGGGGTAAATTCACTAAGAGTACTGACAGTGTGGATTGTCAAAGTGGATATCTATTGAGTTGACTAAAAGCATTCCAGGGCAATAAGCTCAGTAGAACAACTTATACAGTAACCTGTTTGCTCTAGAGCTATAAAGAGTACTTGATTAGGAAGCTTGTAGATTTTCCTGGGTGGTTTGCCCAGGCCCTGATAAAATGCTCATTAGGGAATATCACCGGAAGCGAACACTTTCATTACGCGACCCATCCACTTAGGTACGACATTCTTTTGACATATGGGTTTTGTGAAAACTATGGGTAGCATAAATATAGAAGTGTTACAGAATTGTCTCAAACACGGCTCGGTTTCCGTTAGTGCTTGTCCTGCATCTTCCCAGTGAATGGTCTCTGACTGCATTTACATGACCTAAGCCTACATTCAGAAGCGCACTCGGTGGAGATCTCGTGAGTAACGGGTATAAACCCGTTTTAGGGTCATACATCACCCGATCATTTATCCATTTAGAACTGTGTCTTGAAAATACCGTTAGACAAGTAAACTAAAAACGACCAGTGATCGAGTTCACCGTAAATTTCCATTTGAAACCGAGATTACCGCACGGCGGTATCAAACACAATAAGCAGTCCGAAATCTGTCTTCGTACCAGCATGGGAACTCACCCGAGAATCCGATGTGGACGGAACGGAGTAGGTGAAGCACAGATGAGTGGACGCAGACTGATGTGCACAACAGTCTGTTAAAGAGTGTGCGTTTACTGATTGTTCCGGTTCATGCGCTGATTTCGACACGACCGCTGCCAAATTTCTCCGACCCGCGTGCAGTTTTGGTACCTTTCGAACATTTGGGTCTAGTGACCTTAGAAAGTGCCCGGAAACACAGTAGCCTGATGGGTCTGTATGGGCTTCCTCCAAACAACGATACCAGTCTGACTGGTTGGTAACCGGACAAGAATTTATCCGTGTGATCGCATCACCAAGCGATAGACCACGGTGTCCAGTAACAACGGAATTCTGAAATGGAAAATATCAAACATGTTATTCGACTTGGGAATAGGATATGGAGCCTTGCAGGTGCTTTATTTGGTTCATTAGCGTTAGTCAGCGCTCCACAAAGTTCAACAGGTACTGGGTGGTCGGCAGATTTTCTGAAGTCCCCGATACCAACTCTATGGAAAACAACCTAGAACACTTTAGTTGAACCTTGAAGCAGCCTTCGCGCTCCACATTCAGTTGAGAATATCATAAATGAGAGATTCATTCAAAGTTCCCCAAAGTCTCCAGTTCCCACCAACTGTTTATCCATGTTAGTCAAAACATCATAAACGACAGATTCAAGTGGGTTACGGGTGAGTATCTCGCCAAACCAAATTTGTTTGTAGACGAGTGTTTTTCGCAAAAATATGTTCCGTTTGTCTGATCTGGTTTGATTTCACCATCATCCCGAAAGAGATCATCGAGCAAACAAAACGCTAATTCCAGTTAACCTTTCCAGATGTTAGTCCATAGGGGTGTGTGCGTGAGGTAATATGCAGTGGGATTATTATTACCGAGGAGTTCGAATGGGACTAAGTAGGATTCCGTTACAGGGGTGTGTGCGTGAGGTAATATGCAGTGGGATTATTATTACCGAGGAAGTTCGAATGGACTAAGTAGGATTCCGTTACTGAAACTGCCCGGGTCAATTCATTGATCGCATTGAAGCACGAACACCATGAACATCCGTGTGTTAGACGCTACCTTCTGTTTGCAATCTGAAAACCTAGCAGTCACGAAGATCTATGCCAAAATGTGGGAAGTGGGGGAAAAATGGATCCCAACTGCCTACTAGTCATCAGGCAAGTTCGAGGATGCTGACAACTACATACAGTTACGGGCGAAACGGAAAACTAGGTTGAGAGATTACACCTTACCTGCTACAAATTTTCAGAAAGTCACGTGAATGTTCATTTAATTAAATTTGGGAGGCAACTATTTCATATGGAATGTTAGAAAACAGAAATTCACTGAAATAGTTTATGAGATTATAAACAGGTGTAAAAACACAGGAGATGAAATTAACATACAGTGCTCCTGTAGAATGTGGCCCGTGAAAAGTGCTAGAATGGGTACGTGTGCGAACTCTTTCAAGAGCGTACGCGGCTAAACGACAGCCTCAGTCTGGGAAATACCCATGGAGTGACCGAGTCAAAAAAGGGGCTACCGAAGAGGTTAGTCTGGCTCATACTACGCTGCTGTTAATTCAGACTCGTTGAGAATTTTCACCAAAAGTAACCGCAATTTACGTGACCCACGATGCAGCTTCTAACCTGTCTCGTAATCGTAAACGTCGAAACAAAGGAGTTCATCGCACATATGATGTTGCTAACTTGAAGAGGTTGTCTTCGCCAATTAACCGCTAAGCCATTTCTTACGGCGTTTATCGTCAACGGTGCTAACTGAAAAGCCGACACATCAGCAGAAGTGGAACAAGATTTCTGGTTAGCTACAGTGGACCCGTTCCACATTTACAAGAAGTTGCATACATTTCAGAAAACATCTAAAACTTGTTGATTTCTCGGACTGAGCTAAAAAGTATAGGTGCTCGAAAACCTAGCTCGTTTCAAACATCAAAGACTTGTTTTCACACACAAATTTAGAAATTTCTGAAGGAGTGTTATTTGTATCACGCGCGCTTGCTACTGGGTTATCACATCCCTATAAGAAAAATCAATAATGGCGAAATGTCCCCGAATCAAACAGTCCCTTTGTGTAGGGCTACCATGCAACTCAAAAGAAACATGACACATGAGACACGACTAGGTCCGGTCACTTTGACATGAGTTTGGCCTAGGTATCCGTTTACTGACCGGACTCATGGTTCGAATGTAATCTCACCGTCTCAGTTGCTCCTGTCTACGCTCAGACAACGTGAGAGTATTTGTGCCCTCATGCATCCTAAAGGATGGGGTAGTTGTGTGCGGAAGAGGCATCATAATGAACGATTGGATTCGATGTACATTTGGGGTAACATAGGGCAAAACTGTGTATGATATGTTGAAGATCAGTACTTACCTCTCGCAAAAAAGTGACCCCAACACCGGTACCGATATGGTAACCGGGGGAAAGGAGAAGTGGTATAGCGTAGAACACTGCTGCACTAAGTACGGCAATGATGACGTTGTGCCACACTCCAGCACAATAGACACGCAACTGACCAAGTGGTTTGAGGCTCTGAAGATCCGCCGTATTCAAGTCCACATAAGCACCGGGGTAGAATCCAAACAAAAACACACCGAATCCATGTAAACGAACACGTTCACGCAAAGCAGCCATGGCATGCCCTGCTTCGTGTAGAAAAGCGCACAGGAGTAGCGTAAGCATATAAAAGCCCACATGACTAATGGGGAGGTTCACACCAGGCATCTGGAAAGGGAATAGGACGATACGAAGACGATCATCTGGTGTCTGCGCCGAGCGAGGTATGCAAGAACAACATCGCTAGCTAAATGCATATATTTCGTCCCAAAACGAATTACTAGACCGAATTCCCCGAATAAAACACTCACTGGTCTCAACAGATTTGGATAGGCATGCAGAGTACACTGAGTGTTGGATGAACAGGAGAATTTCCGCCAAAAACACACGATCCTAAAAGCCAGGCCACAGATGCTCGTTCATAAGATAAGAAGAAATAAACGTTGAATCCTTCCAAACGAAGTCCTTTTGATTGGTGCAGATTCTGACTACTCGCTTCGTGCAGCAGGCTTTTCTAAACTAATCATGGTTGTACTCAGCGTTGCAGCTGATACCGAGCCGATTCAAACTGGACAAATACAGTGTCACACAGCCCATCGTCAGTGCTAAGGGCTTGAGCAGTTCAGTCCTCATCGTGTGGATGAGTATGTGAATTTGGAAGGTACCGAACAGATTTAGGAATTACTTTACTAACTGGAGTGGTAGAACATTGGCTACTGACAATCAGCTGATTGGGTGGATGTGCTGTCACCGGAAATCCTAAAAAGTGAAACACTATTCGTCGGTCTCTCGACATTTGTAACCGGTGATAAAGGGGTTATTCTGCCCACACTTAGTCATTCGAATACAAAGTCGGCGCACAGAAGTCAAAGTGTCATATTTGCTCTAGGTAAAGAAATATCATATGATCAAAGTTGTCCGAAAAGGTAGAGTGGTGAATCATGTTTTTAGCCTCAGGTATTACAGAGCGATTAAAGATAATATTCTAATGACCCCGAGATAACACACGGGGAAATGGACTTTGGGCTGCCATAGAGAGTCGTCTACTTTCACGAAGATTCACAAGAAATCGTAACAGGGACAGCTGTTGCGAATTGACAAACCATCAATCTTGGGGAATGAACTTGGATAGGGGCCGCAAAAAATAGGATGTAATTGCACGAGAAAACGTACAGGTCGAGCATTCATAAGTGACGGAATGTCCACTGAAAGGTGAAATCATCTACTAATTGGAGTAACCGAACAACAGGACAAGTTGCAGTGAATCAACACCGACCAGAGGCTACCTTCAAAGTCCCCGCAGCATGATGGCTCCGCTACAAACCATTCTACCGGGAAACTTCATTAGAATAGGAAAACTAGTTAACTAATTAGTTGAATAAAAACCAGCGTTTAGGTGAAAATTGCCAAGAAGCGATGAACCGTGTGAAATCCATGAATGAATGGTAACAAGAAAATTAAAGATCGAACCAGACTACATCCGGTATAATGCACAAGGAAGTACGATTGTTAATTAAGAGGATGAATATGATAATCCCCGGACATTAAGATAGCATCACAGTTCGTGACTCAAAGGAATTTTGCTGCATAGCTGAGTCGAACGGAAAAACCAAACTCCGAAAATACAAAGTAGAACTTGGTCGTTTCGCGTAGTAAAGATTTGCGAACTGGATTTTTTTAGTCAGGGCAATTATGGACACTCGACGACCCAAGGAATATCCAACTTCGTGGTCAGAAGACCTCGCTTCAGCACTCTACTTCTCGAGCAACTCCCGTAACAGCAACGACTTCAATCGCTTAAAGACGTTGTCCAAAAACTCAGAAGCCTCCTTCTTGTGAATAACAAGAGACAGAAAATACTAGATTGGCCAAATGATGCAAATTCTATTCAGCAACTTCGAAATCGCAGAGAATCGAATGGTAAAGGATTGCTTCAAAAAATCAGTTCTCATGGAACTTTTTATAATGAATTCACCAGAATGAACGATTGCTATTTGTCTCCTGTTCAAAAACGGCTGGAATTGGTAATAGAGGTAAGGTTGTCATGTAATACGACACCCAGAAACAACATCGTCGTCTCTTCAACATGCACCAACCGCCGAATCATAATCCCTAACAGCCAATCTTAATCAAAAACATACACAGCCTGGTAATAAAAATTGCCAGGTCAAGCGGAATGCTTTCCAAGAGCTGCTACGTTTCAGAGAGTCAAAATCTTACACACAGCCTTCCTCAATCATAAAATCACCGGTACGGCAGGACATGTGGATGTTACTACATAAGTGATGATAGAGTGACACTACATAAACAAATAACGTGCAAGAGGGGATGTGGAAAATGAAATCCAGTAAGATTTGCAAGCCGAATCGTGTGTCGCGTCTACCACTCAAACTATGGACGAATGTCCTCCGAAACCCCTAACAATGCTCTTCAACAAGCGCCTCCTTAACATTATATATATATATATATATATAT